TCTCTTCATAATCCTGCTGTGTGATCCGTGTTATTCCTGGAGAAATGACTGCAGAATATCTCTGATGAGTGATAAAGGGCCAAGAGAGAGGAGGGAATCCTGAGAACAAAGCACATTTGTGTGCATTTCAACAATATCATCTTGCCATTATCAACATCGATATCATCATCAATACCGTCATCACTATCACCACAACCACAGTCAAGTGAGTAGATTTCTTGAGGGCTTATTAAGAAATTGCCAGCAAATATCAGAAATGCATTATATTGTTTTGTTGTACAGATTCCCTGCAGTGTTGGTCCTATAATTTCCTCCATTTTGTAAGTGAGAAAACTGAGTCTTATAGTATTAAGTAACTTGCCTACACAGTGGTTCTCAATCAGGGGTTATTTTGTCTCTAGGGGATATAGCAAGGTTTGGAAACATTTTTGATTGTTATGAATAGGAGGGTGCTACAGGCTAAACATCCTGTAATACACATGTAGTTCCCCTCATACATACACACACAGTAAATAACTTTTCAACTCAAAATGTCATTAATGCTCAGGTTAAGAAACCCTGGGCTAACATGATGTGTTAGTAACTTGAAGAGAGAGTTTTATCATGAATGAGTACTGCATATTTATTAAAGTCTTGTACCATATCTAGATAATCATGTGTTATTTCCTTATTGATCTGTTTATGTGATAAATTCTAGCAATAGATTTTCACATGTTGAAAGCATTCTTTCATTCCTGGCTTAAATTTCATGTCGTCCAGAGTGGTTGAAATACAGAATGGATCCCTAACTACCCTTCCCAAGGCTTCACATGGTTCCTAGAATAAGAAGAAAATCTTTGATTAAAGATCAAGCATAATCTAGGCTATTATCCCCCTTTCTTGACAATCTTCCCTTAGCTTTCCAGCCTCTTGGCCAAGCACCTTTGCAGCTTGGGGTCTTGGCACATGCTGCCTCCAATGCAGGAGAAAACTTCAGCATTTCCTGGCCCTAAGTCCACCTTCATTTCACATTCTTGGCCAAGTTCTTGATACCTGCCCACTATTTAGTGTTCAGTTAAAATATTATTTCCTCAGGGACTTTGCTGTCTCTTCCAAACTTAGGTATATCTACTGCTATATACCTCTCATAGAACTCTATAATCATTCTTCATAATACTCACAAATTAATTAAGCAGTTATATAATCACTTTAAAGTTCACTCAAATATAAACACAAGAACATGAATTCCAAG